AGCACTTCCGCCGTGACTCCAAGATCGTCATCGACCAGGCCGTCGCCTACGTCGACAGCCTCAAGCTCGCCGGCAACGGCAAGGAGGTGTGGGTCTTCGACATCGACGAGACCACCCTCTCCAACCTCCCCTACTACGCCAAGCACGGCTTCGGGTACGTATTACTCGATTGTATACATACGTGCACACCACGCTATATATGCGTACATACATACATGTAGTTGCTAATTATTGCAGGTGCATCTGAGCAGGGACTTTTCGTTCACATGAAGTAAAAGTCTGACTAGACCTCGTTAGTTAAACTCACTAGTTACTATTAGACAAGGAAAAATATCAATAACATTGTGTCATCGTGAGATCTCTATTGAATGGGAGTGGGAAAACAAGTGAGAGTAGAAGTGGATATAAAAAGGAATATACTCATCACTAGCTTTGGACTGGACACTTGGACATCATCATTGCTGGCCAATTCCAATTAATCACAGTCCAGCAAGACCATATATATATGTCCCTCCTATGAATGGCCAACAAACAAGAGGAAAACATAATATACTGGAAAACTACTCCCTCCGTCCGACAATACTTGTCACCAAAATGAATAAAAAGAGATATATCTAGAACTAAAATACATCTAGATACATCCTCTTTTATCCATTTTGATGACAAGTATTTCCGAACGGAGGGAGTACATTTTTTAGATGTAGAGATGTGATTTGATTGGCATGGGCATGGGAATGTGATGGCCGGAGTAGGACCGTATCTGTTGTCCACTTGGCTACTTTATCAACGAATTTAGTTTTCAACCGTCCTTATTGACAAATACTTTCTTAATTGAGTTTAGATCGAGAATACTTATTTTATAAAATGTAAGAAGTCAGAACATCTTGCGCATAGTTACATAAGCCACAAGACTGTTCCTTAGTTAAGAACATTCTCTTGAACAAAAATGGAAATAAACTTGAAACGTAATAGAAGTCTAGATAATATCTAGCCAAGATGATGCTAAAGGTTTTGTTTGAAACTATGATTAACTAGCTGTGCATAACTTCCTTACATAATGTGACGAAGGAGCTAGTGCATTGCGATTTAAGGTAAATCGTACCTTGCCCTAAGAAATTGAAAGTGAATCTACAATGGGCAGCTTAAAAAAGAAACATAAAAGGTTTACAAGTGCGTCCCAGAAAAGAAATAATGATGAACAGGTGCATATCTAACTAATCGAGGGGTTCCAATAACTTTGCTTCACCACAATCATCACAAAACTAACCTTTTTTTTGTTTTGTTGAAAAAGCTGAAACTCGGTTGCAATATATAAGGCTGCAATGGTAAACCTATTTGATCAAAGGAATCAACAAAGTTGAGCTGCTGCATACAAAGCTGTGCACGATTAGGTTAAATACTACAAGTAGTGAGTAAGTTTGGCATTCGTTCTTGGTCCAGCAAAACAGTAGCGTGATGATGCCGGAGTACGACCTCGCTGTGTCATATTCATTATTGATTTATACCCTCCACTTGGCCAACTTTATTTATCGTCATTCTCGTTCATCCACATACGTACTGTAGCCCATGCATGTAGCTCATCCACTTGGCCATTTGGCCACTTGGACCACAATCTAGGTTACACATTTTTCTTCGGTATGCATAATTACTAGTAGCTGATATTGTTGAATCTGCCATTAATCTATCTTCATATACATGTGTGCGCAGGGCTACACCTTTCAACGCGACGAGCTTCAACGCATATGTGCTGGAGGGGAGCGCACCAGCACTACCGGAGACAAAGAGGCTGTACAACAAGCTGCGCTCGGTCGGCATTAAGCCGGTTTTCCTCACCGGACGGACCGAGGACCAGAGGGCCATCACCATCACCAACCTCCGCCGCCAGGGGATCTCCGGGTGGATGAACTTGCTGCTGAAGCAGCCCGGCTTCAAGGGCTCTGCTGTGACCTACAAGTCCGGCGAGAGGCAAAAATTGCAGGACGCCGGGTACATCATCGTCGGCAACATCGGCGATCAGTGGAGCGACATCCTCGGCGCGCCCGAGGGCGCCCGTACCTTCAAGCTCCCCGACCCCATGTACTACATTGGCTAGGCCGGGCCGGTTGCTGCCACCTTTGATTGCTCCTCGGTCCTGATCCACGATTGAATAAACTCCATGCTCTTAATCATATGCATGCTTCGTCAATAATCACCCCCCCCCCCTCCCCTCCCTGTTGTTGTTTGGTTAATTTCCAT